ACAAAATTATTAAATTCTTCAAATTATAGATGTTTACAAGAAATAGACTACCTTACAAATGCTGCGACTAGTAACCTTCCTATTAGCAATCGACTTCTAAGCCATCCAACTGGTTTGAATGGAAATAATGCAATTAATCAAATGTCAAATCATAGAGACAGTGCAATATGGGTTGGGGGCAATTCCCCTGCAAATAATGGTGTGCCTCCTAAAAGATTAGGCAATGTTGCAATAAAACCTTCTAGACCTGCTCCAACAACTCCACCAACTGTTTTACCCATATTACCAACAAATTCTTCGAGCCCACCATTGGATCATTCTTTTCCTCCGCGTGAAGGTTTAGAAATAGTTTCTCCTGAAAACGATGATAGTTCATTCTTTCCTAGATCAGCTGGTAAATTATATAAGAGTGACGGAAGATTTTCCGATGATGACCAACCATCATTTGACTATCAAAGAAATAATATAATATCGCCTGGTGAAACGACCCCTATGGGTAATGGAATTGGTGGATTAGAGACAAACACAAACGATGAAAGTTACTTTGAAAAAGATGTTGGGACTTCTGCTTTTAACAAATCAAAATTAGATGGATCCTGGAAAATATCGAGCCCAGTTGTACCTAGAAATATAGCTACTGCATTTCCTCCGAAAAGTGCAGATGAACTTAGAGAAGAAGAGTATCAATTGGTATGTTGTGATCTGTAAATATAAAATATTCATCATAAAAAGGAAATACTTTTTAAATATTATGAATTTTGATCTGTTGTTTAGACAAAAGATGTTCAGAAAAAATTTAACCTGTCAGATGAAAAAATTTCGAAATTAATGAAAAATTCTTCGAAAAAAAATCAAGGAATATTACGTGCGTATATAATTTTTTTTTTCATATTTCATTTTCAAAATAACAGTATTTATTTATTATTAAAATTTTTTTTTTGTTTAGCAATTAATACATCAGATCCTCAGTTAGATGAACTCAGTTTATCGGTTGAAGAAGTAGATAACACAGAAAAATCAGAGGTATTGTAAAATCTAAATATTGCATCGAAAATCTCTAATTCTATACTCGAATTCTATAGTTTAACTCACTATTATTCTATTATTATTCGTTCGGACTCTTGTAGGTTGATAAATTGCAAGACAATAGTTCAGATAGAAAAATGTGGAGGCAACGATTCACATTAAAAAGGTAATTAATTATTTTGTAATTTATACAATTAATATAAATATTACTTAATGTTTATGCTTATTTATTTATTTATCTTTATTTTATTTGTATTTTTTTTGTTTTTTTTTTTGTTTTAGCCATCTTGATACTGTTCGATCTATTTCATGGCATAAGTCAGAACTTATGTTCGCGTCTGGGTCGGAAGATGGCACTGTGAAATTATGGAATTTAAAGGGCCCAATTTCTCTCAAGTATGAATAATTAATAATTGTTAAGATTTAACAAACTTTCATATTACTAACACTCTTGTTTACAAATTTAATTAATAATTAGACCTACAGATGTTCCTGATATTGAGCCGACAATTACATATAGAGGTCATACAGCGGCTGTAAATTCAGTTGTTATTTCTTCAGAACAGCACAGATGTTATTCGGCTAGTATGGACTCTACAATTCGCGTGTGGAATCTGCCGCCACAAAAACGAGATAATTATGGACCTATCGGTAATTACAGTTTTAAATTATATACATATAGATATGTTACGTTATATTTCTATAGGAAAATTTCTTTTATCTGAATTTAATCCTTATTTTATAGATTCACCGTTGAACTTTACTACCTACATTGGTCATACGGATGCTATATGGGATTTAAGATTATTCCCTATTTGTAACTTAAATACCCAATTTTTGGCATCTGCATCGGCTGATGGGACAGTTAAAATTTGGAATACGGAAGCCGAAGGATCACCCCTAAAAAGTTCGTGGGGATATTACGGAAACAACGGTGAACAACCGGTTAATGGAGGTACATTATTTTATTTCTTTAAAAAAAATTAAAATTAAATTTAAATTTTAAAATTTATAATTGTTCGCTTTTATATAATATTAGTTCGTCCACCAATACCTACGTCTATTGACTTTGTTCATAGCGATCTAAAGAAAATAGCCGTTTCATTCCAAAATTCAATTATTAAACTTTATGACATTGAAACGGGACAAAGCGTTGTAACATTTAATAGTGATGAAACATACGATAAAACTCCAGCTACACAAATTAATCGCATCATTGTCCATCCTACCATGTCACTATTATTTTCGGCACATGAGGATAAATATATTAGATTCTTTGATATCAACAGTGGTAAGATTCAATGATCAATTTATCAAAAAAAAAAAAAGGTCAAGTCATTATATATTTAGTTTTTTATTTGCTTGCAGGTAAATGCAATTTCTCAATGCTTGCTCATCTGGATTCAGTCACAACGCTTGATATTGATCCATCAGGAATGATATTAATTTCGGGAGGTATGACTGGTTTTAAACTTGTGTATTATGTGGTGAAGATTTATTGCTAACAATTTTTAAAAAAATTAATAAAGGTCATGATAGTTCTATTCGTTTGTGGGATATTGTATCAACAAGACAATGCGTTCAAGAGTTTGTATCGCATCGAAGAAAATCTGATGAAGGTGTATTATGTGTTGAATATCATCGGTCTTTGCCATGGATGGCAAGTGGTGGTGCAGATTCTGTAGTAAAGATATATTGCTGATAATATTTGAGATTGATATATTTGTCTATTTACTTTTGAAGTTCAATTCATTTTCAAGTGCGAATCTATCGAATGAATTTTTTTTTCCTTTTATATTAGTATTATAATTTGAACTTTATTTGAGAGATGATTGTAAAACGAAACTAATACTTGAGGGTTTAACTATTTTTTGAGGGTATTATTGCATTTACATTCTTTTTATTTACCGTATCTCATTA